AAATGCTCAGATAAAACCCATACATGACAAGTTCTTATTTGCTCAGAATGGTATAACAGGTCTAATTGCACCACCTGGGTCTGGTAAGACTTTCACTTATCTTAAAATGGCTGCACAACAACAAGAACTAGATGAGAAGAACCCATTCTATGAGTTAGTAGTCATTTGTAGTACTTCTGGTCAATTTGACCAAACCGTCAATTCGTTCAAAGATATTATAAAGAAGTCTAAGTTAGTATGTATAAAGGATACTGAGTTGTTAGATTGGATAAAGAAGTACCAAAGAAGAGTTTTGAAGTATAATGCTATAAATGAGTATGTCAATTCGAAGTTTAAAGACCCAAATGAGGAAATGCAGAGAATATTAGAGAAGAAACACTTCAGAAACAAACAGAAAGAGATAGAATACATTTCGAAGAAATTGCAATCTTACGATTGGAAGACTTACCCTCACAGATGTCTTCTTATCTTAGATGATTTCGCCTCTCATCCTTTGTTAAAGAATAGAGAACAAGACATGTGTCGAATTCTTAAGAAGCTCAGACACTTTAACATTTCAGTCGTAATATGTGTACAGACAGCAAAGAGTTTAAGTAAGGATGTTAAAAGAATACTTACTGATATCATACTTTTCCCTGGATTGTCCGAAGACGATTTCATGGAACTTATGAAAGAGTCCATGGCAGGTAAGTTTGACAGACATGAACTATGGGAGAAGTACAAAGTCATACAAGACCCTCATACTTCTTTCAGAATTCACATCTACGCGAACAAAGTTCAAATTGTAAAAAGTCAAGCGTAAAAATAAATGGTTCATTTACTCTGCTTGTTTGAAGTTGTCAAAATACTCTGTTATTTTTCACTGTTTTCATGAGTTTTGGCGACCAGGGTTTCTTCCCTACTCGCTGTTCTTCACGATTTTCATACGGAATCTCTTCTCTCGGTTTTCCGAGAGAAGCAATCTTATGTCATTTTACTCAGAATTTTACTCAGAATTCAATAAAAATATATTTTAGGGTAGAAGGTTAGATCTAACCTGTCTTCTAACCTCTTTTCTACCCCAGTTATTTTATAAGCGTTTTACATGGTAAACATTGTGAATTCGTGAAATTCTAAACAATTTCGTAGCTTCTATTTCTTCTGTCAGTACATCGAATGTTTTAACTATGCCGAATGTTTCTTTATATTTCTTCTTGACATCAGATAGAAGGAAATCGTCAGCTGTTGGATAGTTTTTGTTCAGAAATGTCAACATGTCCATTTTATCTTCTGCTGGTTTCTCTACTTCTTTCTTTAAGTCTGCATAGTCGTTTCGCATACGTTCTATCTCTTTGACGGAGTAGTTATATTTCCTCATTGCTGCTTTACATTTTGAACATTGTGGGTTCATTTTAGCATTGTACATTGAAATCTTACCTGCTAGTATGACTAAGGCGTCAATTGCTCTCTTTAACTCAAAAGTTGCGGGTTTTATCTGTTCATTCCATATCTTACCTCTTCTATCTTTATCTCTTATCTGCCATACACATTCAGCAACTAACGAAACAAAGTTGTCGTAGGTCTTAAACTCCCCAGATTTGTATATGTCAGAGATGTTCTTATATACCATATCGCAATCTTTGTCCATGACTTTGTGGTTGCAATGAAATCCAAGAAACTCATAGTTAACCTTTCGTATGAACTTCTTTATTTCTACTGAGTCAGTTGCTTTGACTTCTATTTCATCGAATTCTGGAATAGTAAGCTTTTGTTGCTGGATTTCAGGCAATTTTGGGTAAATGGTCGATGAGGTCCTGCATTCATAAAGATACTGTTCATTTGTTTCATCTTTCGCGCACAACAGTCCAAAGTACTTGTTAAAAGTTCTTGCTTTATCTTCTGGATTTTTGTTTCGAAAGTATATGAAGAAGGAATGAAGCTTTTCATCTCTACTAACATTGAAGTTGGGTTCATGACTAACGAGTTTGGTGCTGTTGTTGCTAACATGTTCTTACAATAAAAATAAAAAAATATTTTTTAAAAAAAACCAACTTTATTTTTTATTTCGGGAAAACTCATGACAAATTCAAGAGGGTAGAAAAGAGGTTAGAAAAGAGGTTATATCTAACCTTCTACCCTAAAATATATTTTTTGCCGAATTCATGAGTTTTGGTTGAAAGAATACGGTGGAGCAAAAGTGGCTCGACCTCAAAACAAGCATTTTCTGTATAAAATTCATGAAAATTCATGAGGTTAGAAAAGAGGTTAGAAAAGAGGTTAGATCTAACCTTCTACCCTAAATTATATTTTTGCTGAATTCAGCAACAAAATTCAAATTGTAAACGGTTTAATAGAAAAAGTGTCATTTTTTCATGTCCGAAGACTCGAAGGTGCAACACTTCCAAATACCGACGAACTCAGAAGAGCAGCATGGCAGTATGTTCTTGACAACTTCTTTGAGTTCTCCAGGCACACTTGGAAAATGCTGAAGAACTCCGACACAGAGAATTTGGAGAAATTGCACTCCAATACTACATTGACAAACAAAGGGTAAACAAAGGGTAAACAAAGGGTAAAATAAGACTAAAAACTTAACGTTTAAAAAGTGACATTTTTAATGAGCTCCGAGTCACCGAGAAAACTTGGTCAGATGTTAGCAGCTTACTTCCCTGAGGAGGATGGAAGCGTTTACATACGTAAGGTTCAAAAACAACGAACCTGGAATTGCGTACCAAAATTCGCAATTACATGACCATGGAAGAGTACGAAAGGTTTCCTACAAGAGAAACCAGCTCTTAACAACTCAGAAAAGAAAGAGTAAAAAGTTTAAACTCGTAATTGTTTATTTTTTTACTTGTATGGGCAAGCTGCAAGAATGAAGTCGACTATCTCGGTCTTTGTCTTGACCAGTTGGACTGCTCTTGTGCGAGTACGTCTGTTTTGCGGTCTCCAGCTGGTGTCTGACCTTCGTAATTGCGCATGTTCTTGAGAGCTCCAACTGTAAATGATTGTAGGATGAAGAGTCTCTCAGACTGCTTGAGGTAGTCTTCACGGTCACGAACCGAATCTGTGGTACGAGTCGAATCGGTCGATTTGAGGGAAGAGACTGAAAGCCTGTCGTCTTCCATTGGGGTGTACATACTCTTTTGCGTAAGCGGTTCAGACCTTCCTCGAACTCTTGGTCTCTCTTGGATTGAGATTGGAATTGGTGGGGCAGGGTTTTGCATAAACATCCAAGGGTTGGGAGTAAGGCATAGGCTGAGGAGGAGGGTAGTTCGGGAAGCCTTGTGGTGGGTAGTAACATTGAGGTGGAAATTGGTAGTAAATCGGAGGTACTTGCTGGAACTGAGGTTGCTGAGGAGACTGTTGTGGTTCTGCAGCTTTCGGTTCTTCTGGTTGGGATATGGGCTCGGTTGGTGGGACGTCGGACATCTGTTTGTGGCTTAACCGTCGGAAGGAAAAACCTTTCCTGTCGGAAGGAAAAACCTTTCCTGTCGGAAGGAAAAACCTTTCCTGTCGGAAGGAAAAACCTTTCCTGTCGGAAGGAAAAACCTTTCCTGTCGGAAGGAAAAACTTTTTCTGAAGTTCGACCAAAAGTTCTCAATTTTCGAAAATTTGAATGGTTTACGGACGGACAACTGGAAGAGTTCTTCCTGTCGTCGGGAAAATTTTTTCCAGTTGTCGGGAAAATTTTTTCCAGTTGTCGGGAAAATATTTTCCTGTCGGATGGAAGGACTCGGAATGCCAGAAGGATTTGACGAGGCAATTTACCTTATAGAGATAAATGAAGTTGTTAAGCAGTACTTGCGCAGGGTAATGAAGCCCAAGGTCAAGTTCACCAGTATTTCTGGAAGGTCTACACTTCAGCTCGAGACTTCGACTGGAATTCCAATTCAAATACCAGACGGGACAGCCTACGACGACATAAAGGACGCCAAAAGAGAAGCTCTTGTTAAGTTCCTAAACAAACGTCCTTGGATAAAAATACCAAACAAGGAGAACCCCCTACCCCATATGAAATTGGCAATTCAGTCTCTCCTTCACTTCTCGGGTCAGCCGTTCTACATAACCTGTGAAGGCGACATCCAACCAGTTCAGTCAACCTTAACGTTTTGAGTAAAAACATTTTTTTTCATTTTTTGAATGAAGCAAGTTAAATTCGTCCCACACCAATCTCAATGGACCGATGAAGAGTTTCAAGCCATGGTTGAAGGCGTTGAGAACGACATAGACGGCGAACTTGAAGGAGCTCAAACCACAATTGCAACCAAAATTGCAGAAGTCAAGGAACAGATAGCTCCACTTAAAGCTACCAAAGCTACTCTTGACCTCATGGATACTTACCGTTTAGAAGTAAAGAGTGGAATAAGACAATTAAAATTAAAACTTCTAAACTACGAAGCTATACTCCAAAAGTTAGCAGAAATGAGAAGACTTTACCAGAGCTACTTACATGTAAGGGACTTACCTTCATGCAGTCCGACCAAAGATGAATTTTCTGACATTGTCCCAATTTTGTCCGAAAGTCAGCTCAGATGTTTTGAACTGCTCCCAACATATCCAGAATATGAACGTTTGCCTGAACTCTTCCGCAATCTCAAAAAACGTTTTTTGGTTCTCATGTTCGAAACTTTTATCGGAAGAGACAACAAACGTTCAGAAGAAGAACAAGATATTATTTTAAACTTGTTGTATGACTTAACCGTCATAACAAGCTTTTTGAAGTAAAACCGTCATTCTCAAACCACTTCATTTTTTCGATGTCCGAACAAGCACCGAAGCCGAACACAATGGCAGATGTCCTTTCAATGTTGCCAGACAAGCGCCCAGTTCAAATTCAAATTTTGAATTTGAAAGCTCATCTGACAAACACCGTTAAGACTCTCCAAAGTAGTCTTATGGAAGAGATGAAGGGACTTAAAGGTGAGTTCCTCATGAACCAAGCTTCCAATGAGAAAGTCCTGAACGATTTGACGGAAACCTTGCGCATTTACGCGAGAGAGAACCGAGACCTTGCCAGACTCATCTACCGTTTCTTCGAAGAGATAGACGCCATCTGGAAGGTACTCGGAAAGGACAGAACCTCCAACACCGTAATTCGTGAACACAGAATTGAAGAAGGAATTGTCGAGGAAGAAGAGAAACACGAAGAAGAGGAAGAGGAAGAAGAGGAAGAAGAGAAACACGAAGAAGAGGAAGTTTGGGCAACCCTTGTTGCCGATGACAGTTATGAAATTTCCCAACCCTACCCATACAAAATCCGCAACAAGGAGACAGGCAAGGTTCTTACCCCAGTCCTCAACAACTTGGGACACTTGAACCTTAACCTTCGGAATCGCGGTTCAATTTCCATGGGCAAGCTTGTCGCAATTCAATGGGTTCCAAATCCAGCAAGAAGACGAAGGTCAGACACATTGACGGTGACAAGCTCAACAACCGTAAGGAGAACCTCGAGTGGTTCTAAGAGTAAAAAAATTTTATTTTAGGGGGAAACCCCAAGTAAATTTAGGTGTTTATTTGGATAAGTATGTGAAATTAAGGTCAATTTGCAAAATTAGTTCCCGACCTTTGAATTGGACTCTTTCGTTCTCCCAGTTGCGTAGGAGGTCGTCCCAGAGGAGTTGGTAGATTTGCCAATCCAAGGACGATTTGTCCTCCCAGGCATTGAGGATGTACTGCTCGTAGAGTCTCATGACCTCTGCCTTGCACCAGACACCCTCTCCCTTGGAACGTAAGGCTTCTTCGAAGTGCTCGAATGCGATTGGCTGCGTGACCATCCGAAATGACACTTTTTGTACGTTTGGTCAATGTTCGTGTCTCGTGCCATAGTCGACGAAAATACAAACAAACAGGTTATATATGAGTTTGAGACCAAGAATGGTGTAACTCGACCTGTCCGATTCAAATTCGAATAAAAATTTTTTACTTCATGCAATGTTTTATTTCTGTGCCGTCTTCAAGTATGCCCCAGTACTTACGCTTGGAGAGGACATGAACTTCGGGAAAATATTTTGCTTAAAAAGCCCATCTTCTCACCGACTAAACCCATTTCAATGAGTTTGTTGTATCCTTCTTCGTTCGTCATGAGTGTCGATGTTCTCATAGTAAACCACAACTTTGGATTTGACTTCGGAGAAGAATTTGTTGTAGTTGTCAAGGACTGCTTTTGCGAACTGAGGGTAAGACCAATGTTCGACAATAGGTTTTAATGTGGTTACTAAGCCACTTTGACCTTGAGTGAATTCGTACTTCAAAACAAAGGGGGAGAACCTTTCAACAAAGTTGTCGACCTTCTCATAATGTTTACTCTTCATCTCTTGAGGTTTTTTAATGGAATATCCCCATGTCGAATTCATAAGCAATTTGAGTGTCATTGCAAGTTTGGGGTTTGAAGCTTTCCTAATATCATACAGTTGTTGTATGACTTTTCCAACTGTATAGTTCCTTCCTGGGAACTCACCGTCTTCGTTTGGAATTCCAGTCGGGATATATTGGACGAACCTCATGTACGCAGCGTTAAGGTCGACATAGTATATTTTTTCGTATGAGTCGAACTTGTCGCAACCAATGGGTCCAGTTCGTGGAAATTCAAGTGAGTCTCTTATCTTCTGAGAAACTTCTCCTGTTATCTCATAAACATCGTCGAAGCAACCTGTTTCATATAAAACCTTCTGACCTAACTCAGATGCTCTCCAATACAATTTGACGTCAATTGGATGTCTCAATGGAAGTTTGTTTATAGCATCTTGAAGTTCTTGCAACCTCATTGGAAGTTCTTCTGGTTCAGGTTGGTATCCGAACAATCCAACTCCTTTTGGAATTGTGTACTTCTTTTGTACTAGAACTTTGTCTGGAACAACTTTTGGTCTTGCTAACAATGAAAAGTTTGTTTCGTCTTTTGGTACAAAAGTTTCTGTCAGCTTGTCATCTGGAATTGGTTCCAACAAACCTTTCTCGAAAAGAATGTTAACAGCTCTGACAATGTTGCACTTGCCTTTTCCGAACAATGGGTTTGTAAGACTTTCGTTCAACATGAAGTGGTTGTGGACAATTACAATCTTCAACCATGGTAAGTCTTTGTCAACAACATAGTCGTCATGTGAAGAACCTTTAGCTGTAGGTATGTTGACTCGGATATTGACATTTGCCAACGGTGCAATTTTTGCCAATTGACCTCTGAGAATGTACCTTGTCTTCACACATGACTCAAGATACTTCATCTTCTCTTCTGAAACAAGACCAGAGTTCCTGAGACATGTAAGAATGCAAGGTTCATTGACAATTGTTTCAATTGAATTGTAAATTCCATACCTTGTCAAGTCAATGTCAGACTTATTTATGAACGGGAAGTATCCAGCATGTTGTCTGACTGCTTGAGGGTTAGGTTGGTACCATTCGAACTTGACACTTGCAATTCCTTCAATTGCATTCAAAATGTCTGAGTCGGAGTCAACCATTTGTTCTCTCTTTGTAGTCTTGAAAGCGTCAAGAAGTTGTGCGGCTGTTGTGACATTGCCATGTGCATAGTAAATGTGACCGTCCAAATCTGTTACGGTTAGTCTGAGATTGTATCCTTTCTTATTTCCGTCTTGTATGGCAGCAAGTACACCCATGAAGCCTTCTTTGTTCTTTCCTTCGTCAAAGTTTACTGTAAAGGTTCGACCAGATGTAATTTGACTTCTAACTTCACGATACTTCTCATATGCATATCTTGTTCTTTCCATGGGAGCATGCATCTCACTACCTTTTTTCCTTCTCAAAGGATGCAATTGTTCGTCATGTTTCCAGTAGAATCTGGCAAAGCCGTCGTGTCCTTCAACTTGAGGTTCACTAACATCGAAAGGCATGTCCATAAGACGTTCTTCTTCTAACCTCTCTAGTCTGTTTGGATAATTTGCGCGTGCTGTTTCCAAGTCCATTTCATAGGTCAGACCAGCCAGTTTGTCATAGACTTTTATGGGTCTTCCCTTCCTATATTTAAAATTCTTCGAAACTTTCCAACCATATCTTTCTAACTCTGCTTTTATTCTAGCAGATTTTCTATCCATTCTATATGGGGGCATTTTTATAAAAATAAAAAAATATTTTTTTCTTTACTTTACGTAACCGCCTGCTGCCATAAGTCTTTGACGCCAACCCATACCAGCTAATGAAGGTTGACTTGGTTTAGTTTGGAAACTAACCTTTGGTTTTGGTTTTTCTTCAGTTTGTGGCTTCCCTTCTTCTATCGGTTTTTCGTCACTTTTCGGTTCCTCTGACTTTACCTCACTTGCAGGTATGGTTGTGTCGTCAACATCTTCATAAATATCATATGCCATTTGTTTTTGTTTTCCTTTCAACTTTTTGTGTTTGTTGTAAAGTTTAGAATATTTCGACTCTAAGTCAATGAGATGTTCTATAATGAACTGTTGGTCAGTGAAGTAAACTTTTCCATCTGTTGTCTCGAAAGCTCCTTCAGACTTCAATATTTTATTTGTGAGAGTCTGTTTCTTTTTTGAGATACTAGCCGTTCCATTTCTATGAAAAGTGACTTTATAGTTAGGGTTTGTATTTCCAGACCTGGCACTTTCTATTATTGAATTTTTCTCTTCATCTGTAAGTTCTTTGACAGGTTTTGACAATGGTTCTGAACTTTTTGTTTGTGGTGTCAAATCTACCGTTTCAACTTCTTCGGTCATTTCATCTCAGTAAAAAATTTTAGTTTGGTTTGTTTTCAACTGGTTGTTTAGGTTTTTTAAGTCGGTCTAAAACTTCCTGAGGTATAGGAAGAACTTGACAAACACGTTGTGTAACTGCTGGAAGTCGACAAATCCATCTTGAACCCATTTGTCTCAATGCTGTATTGTTCATTTCATCTCAGTAAAAAATTTACATTCCCCACGTTTGAGGCGGTTGAGGTTGGTTATTGTTTACCCATTGTTGTGCATGGTTATATCCTCTGTTAAAGAATCTTTCACCTTGGTCCATATAGTGTCCTGCTTGGTTATAGTAGTCATTTGCTTTGTTATAATAGTTTCCTGCTTGTCTTCCTACATTGTCCATCCATCCTTGAACTTTTCCTCTTGTTTCAGGATTTGGAATAAGATTTGCTGCATCTCGTGCTACCTCCCAACCTTTCTGTACAGTTTGTATAATAGGTTGTGCTTTCTCTTTCAGTATACCTAATGTACTCAAAATCTTCCTTCCAATTCCAAATGCACCTCTGGCTATTGTTCCCACTGCGGGCAAAAATCTGGATGCAACTCCTGCTAATGCGCCAAATAAACCCATTTCTTATGGGTAAAAATGACGAATCCAAACAAGGACCCCTATGTTTCTAAAGCGACAAAGAAAGCACTCATGATAAAAATCTTTAGTTCAACACCAAATGCTTGGTTTATGGATATCTTGGAAAACATTCCGAGGTATAGAGAAGATGGACCACCATACTGGCTAATATTTGTCGGTCAAAACACAAGATACTGTGAAGCCATACCATTACAGTCCAAAAATATTTTAGATATCTTGCAGCTTTGACAATATTCGTTGACAAATACCATCCAACAAAACTGACATCTGACTGTGAAAGTTCTTTCAAATCAGACGATATTAAAAAACTATCTGCGTTCAAAAAATGTAAACCAATATTTCATTGTCGACCAAAACCATTCTGCTCTTGGTGTCATTGACAGTTGTATAAAAATCTTAAGAGACTTAAATCAACCACAAGGTGGTGAGGTAGATGAAATGTCATATGACGACAAATATAGACATTTCTCCATGGCAAAGATGAGACAAGTTTTAAATATTTACAAACCGTAAACAAAAAGGTTTGGGAAACCACTCCCCCGAAGAAATGAAAAACAACCCTGACTTAGAGAAAGACTATATATTTAATAGTTTAGTCAAAAGAGACAAACAAGAAAGAATGCCAGGCTTCAAACTTAAGAAAGGTGACAAAGTAAAAATAGAAATACCTAAACGCGACCCATATGAAAATACTATTGACTATGACAACAATGGGAACTCGACAGGTACTCACATTCGTGTTCGTAAAAATAGAAGAAAGTATACAAGAGAATATTATGAAGTTTTAGGCAAACATGGCAAAATGTACAGACTGCAAGCAGAAGATAAAACTACTATTGTCAGACCTCGTTTCAAACTTGTCAAAGTTCAAGGTGGTATACTTTCAAAGACAGTTCCTAACAAATATAAGACAACTCCTGACGAATATGCTAAAGAAGTTGAAAATGACGACTAAGCAATTCTATACCATGCGTAAACTGTCATGTAAGGTGGCATGTAGTCTTTACTTTGTCCCGTTGTTTGCGTATACCCTGAAACGCGATGTGTATGGTTTCCTCTCCCTGAGTGTTACTCCAGTAACAATTATAGCAAACTTAACGTTGTCTTTAACATCATATCCTTTACCTTTTATCATTCCTGACCAATCCCAATATCTATGCTTATGCCAACCTGCTTGAGATGTACTTAAATCTATGTAGTGACTGTGCGCAGGTAATTTTCACCTGAAATCGTTTTACTTCCACCTGTTTCCTTTGAAGAGTTTGCACAATACAAAAACCTGTCGACTATTTGAGTCCAAGTTCCAAAACCAAGTACTACTTCTGGTCTGGTAGAGTTCATTGACGTATAAATAGAACCTATAGGATATACTGTTTGAAGCATTTCTGTCTTTAACGTTTGAAGCTCTGTTTTGTCTGCTTTTTTATATAACTTTTCTTCAAGTTCATTTACGTCAGAGATGCTATGTCTATGATATTTTTGTGGGTATGTTCCTTCTGTCCATGCTAAAATACGTTCTTTTGTTGCATCTACATATCCAGCTATCCATGTCGAGTCTGCTTTTGTATTCCTTAACTCTGTAACACCTTTCTCAAGCTCTTTCAACTGTTGTCCATCTTCCATTAAACCTCTGGTATGACTTGAAACCGTTTGTGCCAACATATCTACAGTTTCTTTGTCGGCTTTAAGGTCTAAACATCCTGAAACCCATCCTGTATCAGCTTTAGTTTTTAAAATCTTCGATGTCCGTTCATGGTACCATTCAACCCTTTTTATAATTTCATTGTCTTTTTCATCCACATATTCCTTATCTGCCTTCTTCACTAACCCACTAGCCAGATATGCTAACTCATCGTCAACATACTCTTTGTCAGCTTTCTTTTCAACATCCTCTTTTGTTGCATATGTTGCATCTGCTCTGTCATGTTCTTCTTGAACTTTTTCAATGACATACTCTTTGTCAGCTTTGTTGTCAATATCTGCTTTCAAAAGAAGTTCATCTATAGGTTTCTCGTTTAAAGTTCTTTTTGTTGGATTTATACAAACAGTATGGTTCTTGTTGTCTTGAAATAGAAACTCATCTGTCATTGGGTTTAATGTCAGTTTTAAGTTTCCTTCTTTCAATGACTCAGATATCTTAGAATAGTTTGAAAAGTTTGTTGTGTTCTTATTTAGAGCTTGCATAATGAGTTGTCGGTTGTGTTGTATTTCTCTCATGGAAGCAATATCTTTCGACATTTTTATTCTAGATAAAATATGCTTCCAATAGAAAAAGAAAATTCAAGAGTTGCTACAACTAAACCATTAGATGAACTTTTTACTAATGTCGGTCAAAAGTTTGAGACAGAGACCGTAAAGCATGAAGGCTATCGTTTTGACTACCCATTAAGATGGTTAAGAGACCCATCTGTCACAAAAGCTATTGGCTTTCGTAGAATGAAGTTTGTGTCTGTAGAAGATAAAAGTTTTCCATTTATTGTAAGGTTTCATATAGATTATATATCTGAAGGGAAACGAAAAATGTGGGAAGAAATTGAGCTAATACAAGTTGACCTTTCATCTTCTCTACAGACTGCGTTAAAAAATATAGAAGATAAAATAAATTCATGTTATGCAAAATATGCTGATGAATATGCAAATACCGAGAGCACACTTTATGTGAGAATTGTATATGACAAACAAAATTCACAAGTGTCATTTCAAATCTACGAAGACAATCCAAAGAAAGACGAACAAATATATACAGAATTCACTGCAATGTCATGGTATTATTTGCAAAGAATGTTAAATCAGAAAGTCAAACTTCCTTTAGCAAATATTTACAGTCGATATGCAAGAGATGAACCATATTTATTTAAAGATGTTTTCGACCCAGCTGCTATTATTGTTCATGCTTCATTTTCTGGCGCCCAAAACTCTTTCTTATGCTTGG